AGAGCTTGCATCTAACTGCTTGAATTATAATATAGAAAAGGAAGGAAGTAGAGACAGGAGGTTTTCTGCTCCTAAATAAACTCATGTAGAGATGGAGTTTCTGTGGAAGAAAGAGTCTGGCAGCAACATTTAGCAAGATGTTCTTGCTTAGGAATTGTGAGAAGAGGTAAGAAGATAGTGGTCAAAGTAGACCTTGAAACAATGATCCCTCTCAACCGCATTCCTACAAGACAGTATTTCTCAATCTCAGCAACATAAGATGAATGGATTTCAACTCCCAGAATTCTCCAACCAACAAGTTTAGCAAAATCTACATCATTAAAATTGTTGCGGTTGAGAAGTTTTGTTAAATGAGTATATACAAACCCATCCTGTTATCAAAGTCCTACTTAAGCATTGCGTAAAAGTTTGAAATTCAGATGGCAAGTAGCAACTTTCAAGTGACACTACCATTCAGAGTCATCTCCCCCACCCTTTCTTTTCAGCGGTCATGTCTGAAGTCATGTTTATCTCCTGCCCATTCAACCTCAGAACGTCTATATTTCTCAGAGAATGCAAGATGACTCACCACAAATTTATGCAGACAAATGTGGGGAGAAAAATTCTCATCTTCTTATTGGTTACATTATGTAATATGATGAATTCCAAACATAATCCCTATCTATTAATTGAGTTTCACAGTTCACGTTCCTGGCTGAAATTCCAAATGCAGTTATTGCAATAGTCCATAGTCATAGCTGAAATGTACAAATGAACTGGGTCAGTGGTGGGATTCAAAATTTTTTACTACCGGTTCTGTGGACGTAGCTTGGTGGGTGTGTCATGGCTTGGTGGGTGTGTCAGAGGAAGGGACTCGGGAGGCAGAGAATCGATGGGGGCGGGGCCAGTCAGAGGTGGTATTTACCAGTTTTCCAAACTACTCAAAATTTTCGCTACTGGTTCTCCAGAACTAGTTAGAACTTGCTGAATTCCACCTGTGAACTGGGTTGCAGATATTGTGCAGAATTTTATAGCTGCACTGTAGCTGCTATGTTACT